CACACACACACACACACACACACACACACACACACACACACACACCCCTCAGTTCCCAGTTAATGGAGTATGGTGTTTTAATCTTCTACCAATCACAGATACCCCTGACAAGAAAGTACTAAGACCATGTGAGTTGTGGCAATAAGAGAGCATTCTTACTTGACCAAATATATGAGCAACACAGTTCCAAAAATTCCATAGAAAGGGCCAAATGTGATGAAGTGTCGGATGTAAAAGCTGCTGACCCAGGCAATGTCCTGCAGAGAAAAAAAACACTGAGTATTATTTCATTGCTTCTTCATATCTTGGCTAAGTCTATGTGCTGTGTCTCAAGGGAACTAAACATTTTCATCCCCCTTCTTCTATTGGCTTAGTTTCAGGTAACAAGGCAAGTTACTCACCCACCAATACTTTCGAAGGTACATCACTTGCATAGATTGCAGGTTAAAATACACAGGCATGAGGAGGGGGAGAGCAACTAAAAAATTAAAAGAAAACAAGAAGAGATGACATTAAAATGTGACTCAGAAACAAACCAGCAAACCTCTATCTGTTTCCCTGTCCTCCCCATCTATTTCTTTTTCTCCCTCTCCATGCCTTTTCCAGAATACTGGGCCCTGAGTCTGGAGATTCACACCTGTTTCTTAGACTTTATTGAACTTTCCAAGGCCCAGAAGCTGAAGTAAGAATTTGATCAGTAGCTCCAGGCTCAACTTCCCTAAAAGCAGTTAGTGAGATTTTGAAAATTCAAGTCATGTGGGATAGGTGCACTTCCAAAATTTTGTTGTGAATTTGCAAGGTTTAATTTAAAAAAAAATCAGGTCCTACAGTCTTGTAGTTGCCCTCAAATGCTTGTTATTGGGTCCAGTCCCAATATGGTTGTCTTGTAGGAATGAGGAAGGTTCATCTATTTCCTGGCCAGAGACTTCAAACGTCTTTAGGTATTTTCTAATGTCTCCAAGGGAAAAAAACTTGCTCCTGGTTGAGAACCATTGTTCTACCAGCAATGTTTGGTTCCCTTCTTAAATTTTTTTAATTTCCCAAATGTGCAAATATGTTTTAGAAGAGCAAATTTGCAAGTTATTTGAAAACTTCCCTTGTAGGCTGCCAGAAATTGAATTGGTGAAGAGGAAAATCTCTTTGCTATGATGTTCTTTTATTGGCATCAGAATTACTCAGCTAAACTGATTTGCCTTCTGGCTACTATCCCTGCATAGATATGTATGTATGTATGTATGTATGTATGTATGTATGCGTGTGTGTATGTATATGTATATGTAGTTGTGTGTGGGTGAAAGAGAGAGACAGAGAGGGTGGGGCAGGGAGGGAGAATATCTTATGCATTCTGTAGTTATAAGTAGGTCATGGGAATATCAAGCTTTCTTCCACACATACTGCTGGCTTTTGTTTTGAGTTCTTCTTCTGTCACCATGCTATATGTGGTTCATTATTACATTTCTTTCTTTCTTCCCTCCCAATACAAATACCACTCTTAGCTTTTGGTTGATGTGATTCTTTTCTCAACATGACAGTTCATACATGGCCTCTGGGTTTATATTCTGACTTCTGAATGTTTAGGTTGTCTCCATTTTCCCCTACCCAGCACCACCCAGTGTGTGTGTGTGTGTGTGTGTGTGTGTGTGTGTGTGTTTGTGTGTGTGATGAGATGAGTGTTTAAGAGGCCTGCTTGATTTTCCATTTTACTTTTCAGATTTTCACACCAGTGGATCTGAAATTAGACATGCTGCTTTTCTCAGTAACGAAAAGATCTGGGCTGGTCTCTGTGAGAGGTTTCTGATCATGCCTTCTGGCTTGGCAAGTGCATGCATGAAAGAAATGGAAAATAAAGAAAGTGGCTTCAAGAGACTCACCCATATAGAAGTACAGATGTTGCTTTTCGTAGTCAATGTATTTGATTTTCTTCTTACCATACTAAAGAGAAAGAATAGAACAAAAAGAGATAACACCTCTGATTATCACACTAAAGGACATTTGTGTATCTGTGTATGTGTGCGCACGCACACGCGTGTGTGCGTGTGCAATCATGTGCATCAAAGAGCCATTTGGTCAGTGTTCAATGGTTGGCAAACCTGAGACACAAGAAAAAACAAAACAGGGATGGGAATGAATATCACACTTTAGTCAAATAGAGACAATTATTGCATGCATGGCTTTTTGTTTGTTTTACTAAGGGAAATTTTTTTTTTGTCAGTCTTGGGGCTTGAACTCTGGGCTTGGGCGCTGTCCCTCAGCTCTTCAGCTCAAGGAGAGTATTCTACCACTTGAGCCACAGAACCACTTCCAGTTTTCTAGTGGTTTATTGGAACTAAGAGTCTCATGGACTTTCCTGCCAGGGCTAGCTTTGAGCTGTGATCTTTGGATCTCAGCCTCCTGAGTAGCTAGGATTATAGGCGTGAGCCACCAATGCCTGTCTTTACTAAGGGAATTTTGATCACTAAAAAAATTGTTGGGGCTGGGAAGGTGGCTCAGTGGTAGAGCGCTTGCCTTGCATGCCTGAGACCCTGGGTTCGATTCCTTAGCACCACATAAGCAAAAAGTAAAAAAGTCAGAAGTGGCGCTGTTGCTCAAGTGGTAGAGTGCTAGCCTTGAGCTGAAGAGCTGAGAGACAGCGCCCAGGCCCAGAGTTCAGGCCCCACGACTGGACCAAAAAAAAATATTTTTATGGAAATCATATGGAGACTTATTCCCTTTCCTTATGTGCATTTACTGAAAAGGGATGATATCGTTAAGCTTTCTTAAATTGTAATAGTTAGGATTCTGAGGCAAGCTCAGGCTCTAGCTCCATTATTATTGAATAAATATTTATTAAGTGGTCATGTGATAAGTGATATAGACATATTACTTCCTGTCTCGTTTTTCTTCTTTTATGATCTCACATGGTGATTCACTACTGTTTCTAAGAAGAGTTAGCAATATGTATGAGCATTCTGTTTATTATGTATCAATACTCATAGTCTATATTATTATTTTCCATTCATAACTTTGAATTTAGTTAACTTCCTAGGTTTTTCCTTGGTGAATATGACCTGTGGCCTAGGCACAATGACAGAAAATGCTCTGAGAGGAAGAACAGAAAGAATACCTATATCTCTGTAGTCCCAGCAGCAACTCAATAACTGTTCATTGAAGGGTTGAATGAATGATCATTCACATTCCTCTTGTGCATTCAGTTACAACAGTGTTAACAGGGATAGGTTCTTGTTTTTCCCATTTTCTTTCTACCATCTTAGGTAATAACTTCTTCACTTATTTGGATATTTTAATTAGTCCCTACTCCATTTATTGTCAGAAATAAAAAGAAATAACACATGGCTGAGATAACTATTTGCAAAAGCTACCAAACTTCTAAACACCGAAGTAGTAAGAAACAGGAAAAAAAAAGAAGAAAGAAAATGGGTAGAGAATGCTTAGGAGTTGACAAACTTCTATGACCTGGCTAGGTATTACTCTGAAGAAAGACAAAAAGTCTTGCTTGATATGAGTAAAGGAGAGAAAAGACTGAATGGAGGTGTATTAAGAAACAGATGTTTAAAAAAGTAGTGTAAAGACTATCAAGAAAGAGGAAAGACATGCTCAGAACTCATCTGAAATGTGCAACTACTGAATTTCAGAGTTGAAATAATTTCATGCTCTATATCAATTACAATGGCCTCAAAACCAACATGTGTAGAATGCTGTGGTTCTGAGCTGAGAAAATTATGTCCTAAGCTACTCAAGGGTAGCAGCACAAGTTAGAGAAGTGGCCTCTGGAATGTGGGTGTTGATTCTGGCAGTAGAAGCATATCTAGGGAATCAGACTGCTTCTGCGCCTATACTTCCTCTGGAAGAACCATGAGAGAAATCAACATTTCACAATTCTAATGCTAGGCACAGAAGTCCACAGCACATCGGAGGTGCTCATGTGGCTTGTGGAACCATGGGCATTCATTTATTTAAGAGTTAACAATAGGGCTGGGAAGGTGGCTCAGTGGTAGAGCGCTTGCCTTGCATGCCTGAGGCCCTGGGTTCGATTTCTCAGCACCACGTAAGCAAAAAGAAAAAAGCCAGAAGTGGCGCTGTGGCTCAAGTGGTAGAGCGCTAGCCTTGAGCTGAAGAGCTGAGGGACAGT